GAACAGAACCTAGCCCGTACAACTACGGGACCTTGCCTGTACTTATTTATCGGTGAATCATTCAAACCGATATTAGTGCGCTGTCTAATATCTAATGTACTTCATTCACATGATTGGGTTGGCCTCCCAAACTTAATTCAGTCTTGTTAATAGTCCCAGACTTATTAACCACAATCGAACTTGATACCCCATATCTAGTACATTACATTCGCTGTTATAACTCAGTTTACTCACACACACACACTGGTTAAGTACAGTGGGGAAAAAAGTATTTAGTCAGCCACCAATTGTGCAAATTCTCCCACTTAAAAAGATGAGAGAGGCCTGTAATTTTCATCATAGGTACACGTCAACTATGACAGACAAATTGAGATTTTATATCTCCAGAAAATCACATTGTAGGATTTTTTATGAATTTATTTGCAAATTATGGTGGAAAATAAGTATTTGGTCACCTACAAACAAGCAAGATTTCTGGCTCTCACAGACCTGTAACTTCTTCTTTAAGATGCTCCTCTGTCCTCCACTCGTTACCTGTATTAATGGCACCTGTTTGAACTTGTTATCAGTATAAAAGACACCTGTCCACAACCTCAAACAGTCACACTCCAAACTCCACTATGGCCAAGACCAAAGAGCTGTCAAAGGACACCAGAAACAAAATTGTAGACCTGCACCAGGCTGGGAAGACTGAATCTGCAATAGGTAAGTAGCTTGGTTTGAAGAAATCAACTGTGGGAGCAATTATTAGGAAATGGAAGACATACAAGACCACTGATAATCTCCCTCGATCTGGGGCTCCACGCAAGATCTCACCCTGTGGGGTCAAAATGATCACAAGAACGGTGAGCAAAAATCCCAGAACCACAGGAGGGGACCTAGTGAATGATCTGCAGAGAGCTGGGACCAAAGTAACAAAGCCTACCATCAGTAACACACTACGCCGCCAGGGACTCAAATCCTGCAGTGCCAGACGTGTCCCCCTGCTTAAGCCAGTACATGTCCAGGCCCGTCTGAAGTTTGCTAGAGTGCATTTGGATGATCCAGAAGAGGATTGGGAGAATGTCATATGGTCAGATGAAACCAAAATATAACTTTTTGGTAAAAACTCAACTCGTCGTGTTTGGAGGACAAAGAATGCTGAGTTGCATCCAAAGAACACCATACCTACTGTGAAGCATGGGGGTGGAAACATCATGCTTTGGGGCTGTTTTTCTGCAAAGGGACCAGGACGACTGATCCGTGTAAAGGAAAGAATGAATGGGGCCATGTATCGTGAGATTTTGAGTGAAAACCTCCTTCCATCAGCAAGGGCATTGAAGATTAAACATGGCTGGGTCTTTCAGCATGACAATGATCCCAAACCCACCGCCCGGGCAACGAAGGAGTGGCTTCCTAAGAAGCATTTCAAGGTCCTGGAGTGGCCTAGCCAGTCTCCAGATCTCAACCCCATAGAAGATCTTTGGAGGGAGTTGAAAGTCCGTGTTGCCCAGCGACAGCCCCAAAACATCTCTGCTCTAGAGGAGATCTGCATGGAGGAATGGGCCAAAATACCAGCAAACAGTGTGTGAAAACCTTGTGAAGACTTACAGAAAATGTTTGACCTGTGTCATTGCCAACAAAGGGTATATAACAAAGTATTGAGAAACGTTTGTTATTGACCAAATACTTATTTTCCACCATAATTTGCAAATAAATTCATAGAAAATCCTACAATGTGATTTTCTGGATTCTTTTTTCTTATTTTGTCTGTCATAGTTGACGTGTACCTATGATGAAAATTACAGGCCTCTCTCATATTTTTAAGTGGGAGAACTTGCACAATTGGTGGCTGACTAAATACTTTTTTCCCCCACTGTATATCGTCTAGTCGCATACATAACTGATGATCAATACCTAATACATTTCATTCATTCATTATGTCATTTGTGACCGATCGTTGAAAAAAAAAATTGCATTTACCACAGCTCACGCTTCATACATTTAACTAATTTGTTAAATACATTTGTAACTTTATCAATTATGCAATTTGGTAACTTCCATCAAACAGGTGTCTTACAAAATAAATGTGGATAATGCCAATATGCAGAACTTTAGTTATTCACAATAGGTGTCTGCTTACCTTTTTGTCTGACCGGTCAGGATTTGTGAGACACACCGTCCGACGACAGCAATGGCCAATCGGCCGGACAAGTTCCAGCGAAGTCCTTCTACCAGATCACGTCCGGGGTCACCAATTGTTAAGTTGCATCATTCGAATCTGGTATCAGAACAGAGTTCAACACTAAGTCACTGAATATATTTTCAGCTTTTTATTAATATAATTAGCCAAGCAAACAAATGGTAAATGCAATCTTCGTATATAAGGGCTCACCGTAACACCTCACAGGGCTAACAGAGGACTAACTGTCCCAACCCAAAGTTATTATTTTAATACTCTGACAGAGATAGTTCCTGCTCCAAGCAGGCCTATCAGAGTAGAGGCTGAGCGTGGTTTAAACTTACTCAGCCTATTGTTGGCGCACAGGCTGGTCCCAGCCTCTTGGCGCATAACTGTCACCGGTTGTTGGTTGTCAGCTTGTCTCGAGAGTAAGCAACCATTGATACAGTTTCCTCTTCTTCATGTTGCAGTACTTTGTCCTTGAGCGGTTTAACAAAGAGGCAGTGTGTGTGTGTCACAAGTCTATCTCAGCCTACGCCCTTCCGGTTCCTCACATTAGTCACAGCTTGTTATGTTAAACAATCTATATCAGTACAGCACAAACCTATTAGGTTTAATCATTAATGTATTCTTTTTAAGCTAGGCATCACTTCTAGTTGTAAGAGAATAGATCCCCACAATGCGTCCCTCCGGACCTCGGTAATGACCAAATGTGGCCTGCAGGGAGAATTAGTTTGACACCGCTGGGATACACTGTCTAAAGCTGTATTCTGAGATATTGTGTAAAATATTGTTTTTTCTCACTAAGAATACTAAACAAACATTAGCTTAAAAGAAGTAAGATTGTCTCACCCAATCTTCAAGAAAGGCCTTTTTCCCTTTATTCAGATTATAACCTCTCACTTTCAGTTATTTGAAAAGGAAATAATCTCCCAAATGTCACTATTTCTAAAACAAGCCATAGAAAGTTGGTTGCAATTTCAATTTAATCCTCCAGAAACGACAGAACAAATAATGCAACACATATTGTGGTTAAATTCAAATATACTAATTGACAAAAAACCTTTATTTTTTGACAGAATGTTTAAAAAAGGTATAATCTTCGTAAATGATATCATCGGTAGGACTGGTGGAGTTATGACGCACATGCAGCTAACAAAAACATATGGAAATGTCTGCTCTACCCAAAATTACAACCAAATAATTGCAGCCTTACCGCAAAAGTGGAAGAGGAAAGTGGAAGGGGGAGAAAGTAAGGAACTTGTCTGTCGGCCTTGCATTAAAGAACATAATTGGTTAAGGAAAACTGTGATAAATAAAAAAGTATATCAGTTTCACTTAAGGACCAAAGGATTGACAGCCGTCCCATATAGATTGCAAAATAGTTGGGAAGAGATCTTTGACGTACGGATCCCATGGCATAGTGTTTATGAACTGACACGCAAAACGACACCGGATTCAAAAATTAGAATCTTTCAATTTAAATTATTATATAAAATTCTTGCTACCAATAGAATGTTATTTATATGGGGGATACAATCTTCCCAGCTCTGCAGATTTTGCTGTGAAGAGACAGAATCATTAGATAATTTGTTTTGGTTCTGTCCATTTGTAGCTTGTTTTTGGACACATGTCCAGGAATGGCTAAAGGATTGCAATATTTACCTGGAGCTAACCTTGCAGATAGCATTACTGGGTGATCTGAAAAGTCATAGTCAATCGATAAATAATATAATAATACTTTTAGCAAAAATGTTTATTTTTAATTCACAATCTGTAGAAGCAATGAGAATAGAAAGGTTCAGAACTTTTGTAAAACATCACAGTACGGTTGAAATATATATGGCAAATAGAAATCCTATATGGATGGTGTTAAGAGATAGATGGGAGGTATTGAATAGAGTTGAAGGATGGGACTAATAACAAATAACAACAAATAATAACAAAGATAGCTAATAATGTAAGCATACTGTGTCCATAATAAGTATATAGGTTGTATGTTGGGAGCTTTTGGGAAAGAGCACAGTTAGAAAGATATGGCATATAGAAGCAAACCGGATGGACATCATGAAAATGATCGGAGAGGTTGAGAGTAGAAGAAGTTCAGGAGCAAAAAAAATTTAAATTAAAAAAAAATATATATATATATATATATATAAATAATATAATTATTGTAAAATTAACTCTGTCCATAAGGTGTAGATAGTAAGTATAGACCGGAAGTAGAGGCCTGGGCATTGTTGTTCACTAATTTACTCCAAGTAGGGAAAGGATGGTGGGGTTGAAAAGTAATAAAGGGGAGTATATATCAATCAATCAATCAATTTTATTTTATATAGCCCTTCGTACATCAGCTAATATCTCGAAGTGCTGTACAGAAACCCAGCCTAAAACCCCAAACAGCTAGTAATGCAGGTGTAGAAGCACGGTGGCTAGGAAAAACTCCCTAGAAAGGCCAAAACCTAGGAAGAAACCTAGAGAGGAACCAGGCTATGAGGGGTGGCCAGTCCTCTTCTGGCTGTGCCGGGTGGAGATTATAACAGAACCATGCCAAGATGTTCAAAAATGTTCATAAGTGACAAGCATGGTCAAATAATAATCAGGAATAAATCTCAGTTGGCTTTTCATAGCCGATCATTAAGAGTTGAAAACAGCAGGTCTGGGACAGGTAGGGGTTCCATAACCGCAGGCAGAACAATATATATAAAAAAAACAAAAAAAACAAAAAAACATGGGGGATTGGAAGTGATGCAGACAATTACATTGATAGAAGATACAATCTATCTGCAAAATTAAGCTGATCCATTCCCCCCCCAAAAAAAAATAAATAAAAAATAAATAAATAAATAAACATTAGCTTAAAAGACAATAATCACAGATTTATTGCAAACATTAATTTAAAAAATCATTGGACAACACAACTTCTGAGGGAATTCACTGTACATATATTGTACGTTGATACTAAATAGTGTGTGTATTATATTGTATATTACAGTACAATATTATGAGATATTTTACAACAGAGGTTGAACTTGCAGCCCATCAGTTAGATGTCTGTGAGGAACAAGATCAGTGTCCAGCTGTGTGTATGATTCTACTTTTTCACTTTGCTCGCCTCGCCATAGACTGAACTTCTTGGTGTGAAGAGGGATCCCAGCGCTAGAGACACATTAAAAAAAACTTGACATCTTTTCCTTGACAATTTCTGTTCTTGCTGTGAACAGAATGAAAATCTGCAAGCCCTGTGGAGCGAAAACAAAAACACAAAGATGTTATCAAGTATTTTCAGGAACACACAAGTACAAACAAAAGGTAGCGTTTCCATAAAGAGCAGCAGAATTTATTAATGTTTAGTAGCTGTCTAGTTTTCAATCATGTCTGGATTCTGTGGTACAATAGCACACTAGTCTTTATATTTAACATTTGAGTCATTTAGCAGACGCTCTTATCCAGAGCGACTTACAGTAGTGAGTGCATACATTTACTACCTGAGTGGTGGTGAGTACACAGAAGGAGATGTTGAGTATGGTGTACATGGTCTGGTTCTGTGTAATGAGCAACAGATAGCCCAGGATCCAGGAGAGACTGAGCACCACAGCCAGAGAAAAGCTACTGAGGAACTTCTTCTTCATCGATGTGTGTCTTGTACTGGGAAATATAACCAACATGCTTAGATTGCTGTCATAGACTGCTGTAATGCTGTGGTAATATAACAGTATACTTCCAATGACTGAGTGGGTTAGAGCATGGTGCTCGTTAAATAGTATGAATTGGTTACTAATGACTGAATTAATAATAAAAAAAGCATGCATTTTATTTATAAAAAGTTTTAATCGAAAGACAATACAAAATTAACAAGCTCGTTAGTAGGCATTTAAATCAAGACTGATCTTTATGACTACAACTTTCCACTTTGTGCCCCCAAAATGCCCCCATTAATGTTACCTGGTTATATGTGGGTTGGTCTTGGATGTTGTAACTGCAAAATATACCAACACCACCATGTTGAAGATAAGAATGAACGCAACAGGGATCAGGAACCCCCAAAACATTGGCAGCTTGAAGTCAAAGTTCCCGTTTGGATCGAGGGCAGCAAGCCAGCAACTGAGGGGACAAATGAATGAGTTAGAGAGTGGGACTATTTGACAGACAAAACAGGACACCAGTGATTTGAATAACGTGGTATAAAGTAAACATGGTGGATTGCATAAGTAAACAAGAAACCGTTCAATACAATGGATCATTCGTTTCGTTTTTACAACTTTTTAAATTGCTCGTTGCCATCGTTAAAAGCATAAAATACGAAAATTGATAGGGAAAACCTTTTACCGTATGAGTTATAACATTTTATACAGCAATTGCCCCACATTGATATTGGTAGTACAGTACAGTATAGTACAATACAGTACAGTTCACGTGAGAGATATCGATCACCTCCAGCTCGGGGCTTCAGCCAATCAGATTGTCCCCATGCACCCCACACTCTGCCCATGCAGTGGTTCACAAACCAGTAAATACGTAGAGCCGGGTCGCTCTCTTTCAAGTACAGTACAGTATAGTAATGTATAGTACAGTAAAATACGGTATTGACTCACAATTCCTCCTGCCTGTAACCCAGTGGATTATCCACTCTGTAACTAATTCCTAAGGTGAGGGCCACCACAACCGCAGGCAGTCCTAAAGGACAGAGAATGTTGTTGTTATTTCCTGGTAGATTTTCATGCAGACATTTACAGATGATATACTACACATACATCCTCTAAAGACAGAATTTCACTATACAAGTTGCTTTTAAGTTCTATTTCAGGCTTATTAGAGCCTGAAAATATAACCCGGCATTCGTTTTGGTGCAAGGAGCCCAGGGCTAATGCCAGCCAAAGCTTCTGAAACAACAAAATATTATATTTTTCTCCAAGCTGTCCTACCCCATCCGATGGCCACGGTATAGGCTGTGAAGTGTGACGGGCTGGTGGCCAGGCTGTTTCTGATCATCAGGAAGACATGTGTGGCGTACAGCGTGTTCCAGGTGAACGTCCCCAACAGGAAGTACTGCAGCAGGACTGCGACTGCAGTACAGAGGCCTCTGTCCCGCTCTGTGTGTGTGTCGGACGAGGGGAGAATGTTGGCCTCCTGTATTTCAGGTTTCTCCAGCTGTTTATGAGGGTTGTCCACTCCCAACATGAAGAGGAGGGTGAAAATCAGGAGACACACGCAGACGCTCACTAAGAGGACCGTTGGGTTGGTTTTGCGTTTTTTCCTGGGGATAGGTGATAGATGTTAGGGAAGCTAGATGCGTAGTTATGGATGTGTTGGTTCATTAATAGTGGGTTTCATATTGATTTCACCTATCAAGTCATGTTGGATCAGACAAAGGGCTTCTTCACACTATTGAGATGCACCCAATATTTTGAATTGGTTCTGGAACCCTGTAAGATCTTACCGGGTCACGATCTGGAATGTTATTGTTAAACTCAACCCTATGCTGGACATGGAGCATCCCAATGTGGTGATCCAGTTTAGAGCATCAGCGTATTTAAAATCCCTCCTGAACGACTGTAGAAAGAAAATAAAAAAATACATTTCAACACTAAGTTTGTCACAGTCATACTGTATAAATATATCTCCCTCATGTGTCTGGATAAGCTGTGGTAAACCACATTGTCTTTGGATCTCAAAATCATTGTAATGTGGTTAACCTTAAAAATTGAAATTGAAAATTCAACCAGAGAGCTCCCTTAGATCGTGGGAAAAGGCCTCACTTGACCGTTGCACTTGAATCATTCCCACTTAAGATGACCACATTTAAAATACACAAATGCGGGACAACAGGATGATTTTGCGGGACAGTGTAGCCTACCCGATACATAATTTCAAAATAGGCCAATGCATCATTGTCACGATCGTCAGGGAGAGACCAATGCGCAGCGTTGAAGGTGAACATATTATTTAATGAATGAACAAAACAACAGACGATAACGTGATGTCTACGGTTTACACAACCAAATACGAACAAGAAACCACCAACACAAAGTGAAAGACAGACAGTTAAATATGGCTCCCAATCAGAGACACCCAGCAGACACTCGTTGCCTCTGATTGGGAGTCACTCAGCCCAACATAGAAAATCAAACATAGAATTACACACCCTGGCTCAACATAACATTGTCCCCAGAGCCAGGGCGTGACAGTACCCCCCCCTAAAGGTGCGGACTCCGACCGCGCCAACTAAATCCCACAGGGGAGGGACCGGGTGGGCACTCCGCCTAGGCGGCGGATCCGGCTCCGGACATGACCCAGGCACGGGTTGTGCTGGACTGACGACGCGCACCCCTGCCCTGGTGCGTGGAGGAGGAACGGTCCTTACCAGGCTGACGACGCACACCGTAGGCTTGGTGCGTGGAGCAGAAACAGGCCGGACTGGGCTGACGAAGCACACCACTGACTTGGTGCGGGGAGCAGGAACGGGCCGGACCGGGCTGACGAAGCGCACCCCTGACTTGGTGCGGGGAGCTTGGATGGGCCTACCTGGGCTGGCGACGCGCACCACAGACTTGGTGCGGAGAGCAGGAACGGGCCGGACAGGGCTGACGAAACGCACCATAGACTTGGTGCGGAGAGCAGGCACGGGCCGTGCCGGACTGACGACGCACACCACTGGCTTGGTGCGGGGAGCTTGGATGGGCCGGACTGGGCTGGCGACGCGCACCACAGACTTGGTGCGGAGAGCAGGAACGGGCCGGACAGGGCTGACGAAACGCACCATAGACTTGGTGCGGAGAGCAGGCACGGGCCGTGCCGGACTGACGACGCACACCACTGGCTTGGTGCGGGGAGCTTGGATGGGCCGGACTGTACTGGGGACACACACCACTGGCCCTACACCGGGATCTGGAACGGGCCGGACCGGACTGGCAACACACGCCAGTACCTCTCGCCGTGCCTCTACTTCCTCCATCCCCTCTTCGACCAGTGGCCCCCGTAACCTGGCGGCCTCCTCTGGCAACCCACTGGACCGCTCTATCGCGGCCTCCTGCTGGTCCGACGTCGTGAGCCCCCCCCTAAAAATTTTCTGGGGTTCTCTCCTCCCCGTGGGCCAGGCCTCCATCGTTCTCGCCCAGCTCTCGCTCTTCTGCTTCCAATCGCCGCCCTTCAGCTCCTCATTCGGCTTGACCCAGTCTAAGCTCTTCCTCCACTGTGCCCAAGTCCACCCTCTCTGCTCCTCACTAGGCTTGACCCAGTCGAGGTTGCCACGGAGATCTGTTAGCGATGGCTCCTGGACACGCTGCTTGGTCTGGTTTTGGTGGTTTCTTCTGTCACGATCGTCAGGGAGAGACCAATGCGCAGCGTTGAAGGTGAACATATTATTTAATGAATGAACAAAACAACAGACGATAACGTGATGTCTACGGTTTACACAACCAAATACGAACAAGAAACCACCAACACAAAGTGAAAGACAGACAGTTAAATATGGCTCCCAATCAGAGACACCCAGCAGACACTCGTTGCCTCTGATTGGGAGTCACTCAGCCCAACATAGAAAATCAAACATAGAATTACACACCCTGGCTCAACATAACATTGTCCCCAGAGCCAGGGCGTGACAATCATTACTGTCAATTGTGAATGCTGATTCTTCATGTTTAATTTTTTTGCCCGCACTATAAAACGGTTATATCGGTCTGCTAATACAGGACTAGTAAAGGCCCAATGCACTACTTTACTGAAAATATGTATTATTATTATTTTGTCATTGTGATTTCTCAGGGGCTGCTGCAACACCCTCAGCACTCAACTTCCTGCTGCTTTGATTATATCTTTCAGTCTAATGTGGCTATTTACCTACTTTTCTAGCTCTTCAGCAGAAGCTCTTTGTAAGCAGTTAGGAGGCCTAACTATGAGATATTGTTGAACTTGCAGCCAATCAATTAGATGTTTTATACAATCTGTGAGTATCAAGGTGGAAATTAACTGTCATGAGCGCAATGTGACTGCAAGAGACAGGTTGGAATGTCTGACTGAAATACTGGACAAATCAACGTTTTTTCTAAAATTGGTGGTGTTTGAATTTGTTGATAAAATGCGGGACATGATTGTTTAGTTGCTTGATAAAGGGCCAAAATGCGGGACTGTCCCGCACAATCTGGGACATGTGGTCACCCTATTCCCAGGTGAATGGCTAGGCCCACTACAGAATGAAACCACACACTATTTCAGAGATATTACCGCCACAATCGATATGGTGAAAACAAGGTGTGGGGAGGCCGAGGCACAGAAACTCACATCAATACCTTTGTCAGATAACACTGTAAAAGTAAGAATTAATGCTATAGCTAGCAATCAATATGAAACCTACTGAACCACTAAAAAACTCTCCAGCTTTCCAAATTGAAGTTAGTTCTGAGGGCCGAGATGCCCATTCATTTACTTTTGTTCGCTACATGTCGGGGGATGCTATTCACGAGGACATATAGAGCATGAAACTGTACAGAGGATGCGCTGCATGGCTATACTGAAGAAAAACAGATTCCATGGGATTGAATGGTGGGCAAATAAACAGACAGACTTTGTTGACTTTCTGTGTAATGAAAATAAAATGTGTCCCCTTGCATATGTAACTGACACATTTGGGAAACTGAACAAACTGAACGCAAGCATGCAGGGGAAATACAAAAAACATTCTACAGATGAGTGACCGAATCAGTGGATTCAGTGGAAAGATTTCTTATTGGAGAGAAATCTGTTTGACTGTGATCCTGCCTCAGTTGACATAGCGGTAAGTGAAAATGAAAACTAATCGAGCCGTCATATGACAGAATGCTGCAGATAACCCATTTTGGTTCCTCACTCAAAGGGAATACCCTGCCGTCTCCTTCTGAGCATTAAAACTCATGGTACCCTTTGCCCGCTAATATCTGTGTGAGGCTGGATTTAGTGCACTCGTCTGCATTAAAACCAAATATCGATCCAGGTTGGAAGTGACAGCAGAGATGAGGTGGGCACTGTCAACCACACCCCCTGACTTTGAGAAGCTCCAATGCGACATGCATCATGTCTCTGATCTCATCATCTCATTAGTGGTGATGAGATAAGAGACATTATGTCAGACCAATTTGCTATTGACTGTCATAGCCCCACATTAAAAGTATGTGATGGTGAGTTGAGAATACAATCAGAAATACTGAATGTTTTGCAATTGATTGTCATAACCCCATATAAAAAAGTAAACATTGGCTCTTAATTACAAAAGAAAATTCACATGGTTTGGGTCATGAGAATTTTCAGATATCAAAACAGGGTTGTGGGCCAATAACGTTTGGGAACCCCTTCCATAGGTCAGAGTGTGGTCAGTTAAAGGGAGATGAAGGCAGCTAGCTACTCACCATAAGCACAGCGAAGTTAGTGGTGTGATCACAGAAACATCGCAGGCCGTCTTCTGAGTTGTTGACTTTGGAGCAGCCATAGGTGCTCCAGTCTTTCAACGTGTAGTTCCACCACACGCAGGCAAAGTCATAGAGGGAGGCGTTGGGGACAGCCTGAGAAGTGAGAACAGAAACAAACTCAATATAATACTTCAGCAAAAGACATGCATTCACAAAATTCCTCATTAAAAAAATAAAATTAAGTCAATTGTGAAATATAATAGGTCATTACTTAAATGTGGGAAAGAAGAAGTTTCAATTATGATAGATCATATTATATACAAGACAACATATGCTTCCTTGTTCACTGGCCAAAATATGCTTCCTTGTTCATTGTGGCGGATAAGCGTCAATGGATAACTTAGATCAGGGGTGTCAAACTCATTCAATGGAGGGCCTAGTGTCTGCTGGTTTTTGTTTTTTCTTTTCAATTAAGACCTAGACAATCAGATGAGGGGAGTTTCTTACTAATCAGTGACCTTAATTATCAATCACGTACTCCGTGCAATGAGTTTGACACGTGACCTACAGTGCATTCGAAAAGTATTCAGACCCGTTAACTTTTTCCAATTTTTTTGGCGTTACAGCCTTCTTCTAAAATTGATTAAATAACAAATAGATCCTCAGCAATCTAAACACAATACCCCATAATGACAAAGCGAAAACAGGTTTTTAGAAAAAACAGAAATATCTTATTTACATAAGTATTTAGACCCTTTTCTATGATACGTGAAATTGAGCTCAGGTGCATCCTGTTTCCATTGATCATCCTTGAGATGTTTCAACAACTTGATTGGGATCCACTTGTGGTACATTCTTTTGATTGGACATTATTTGGAAAGGCACACACCTGTCTATATGAGGTCCCACAGTTGACAGTGAATGTCAGAGCAAAAACCAAGCCATGAGGTCGAAGGAATTGTCCGTAGAGCTCCGATACAGGATTGTGTCAAGGCACATATCTTTGGAAGGGTATCAAAAAATGTCTGCAGAATTGAATGTCCCCAAGAACACAGTGGCCTCCATCATTCTTAAATGGAAGAAGTTTGGAACCATAGAGACTCTTCCTAGAGCTGGCCGCCCAGCCAAACTGAGCAATCGGGGGAGAAGGGCCTTGGTCAGGGAGCGCCAGAGTTCCTCTGTGGAGATGGGAGAACCTTCCAGAAGGACAACCATCTCTGCAGCACTCCACCAATCTGACCTTTATGGTAGAGTGGCCAGACGGAAGCCACTCCTCAGTAAAAGGCACATGACAGCCCACTTGGAGTTTGCTAAAAGGCACCTAAAGGACTCTAAGACCATGAGAAACAAGATTCTCTGGTCTGATGAAACCAAGATTGAACCCTTTGGCCTGAATGCCAGGCGTCACGTCTGGAGGAAACCTGGCACCATCCCTACTGTGAAGCATGGTGGTGGCAGCATCATACTGTGGGGATGTTTTTCAGCGGCAGTGTGACTAGTCAGGATTGAGGGAAAGTTGAACGGAGCAAAGTACAGAGAGATCCTTGATGAAAACCTGCTCCAGAGCGCTCAGGACCTCAGACTGGGGCGAAGGTTCACCTTCCAACAGGACAACGACCCTAAGCACACAGCCAAGACAATGCAGGAGTGGCTACCGGAAAAATCTCTGGATGTCCTTGAGTGGCCCAGCCAGAGCCCGGACTTGAACCCGATCGAACATCTCTGGAGAGACCTGAAAATAGCTGTGCAGCGACGCTCCCCATCCAACCTGACAGAGCTTGAGAGGATTTGTAGAGAAGAATGGGAGAAACTTCCCAAATACAGGTGTGCCAAGCTTGCAGCGTCATGCCCAAGAATACTCAAGGCTGTAATCGCTGCCAAAGGTGCTTCAACAAAGTACTGAGTACAGGGTCTGAATACTTATGTAAATGTCATATTTCAGTTTTTTATTTTTAATAAATGTACAAACATTTCTAAAAACCTGTTTTTGCTTTGTCATTATGGGGTATTGTGTGTAGATTGATGAGGAAAAAAATAATTTAATCAATTTTAGAATAAGGCTGTAACGTAACAAAATGTTGAAAAAGTGAATGGGTCTGAATACTTTCCGAATGTACTGTACATAATGGAAAACTTCCCATTAAATTTCCCAGAGAATTTGGACCACTATGCGTTTACCGATTCCAATAGAAATCTTACTGTGTGCTTGAAGAGCATCTCAACATGCAGCCCAGACACTTGTCCAAGGTTAGCAGAGATGACCCTTCTGCTGGTTCCTGAAGAAGCTCTGAAAGTCCTGGACCTGAAGAACTGGTCATTTTGGTAGAGCACAAAACCAATGGAGTTGTTTTTGTTTTTACTACGTAAAACTGAGTGGAGTGAAGGAGATAGAGGGGAGAGAGAGGGAGAAAGTGAGAAAGAGAGAAAGGTGGGAGAGAAAGAGAGAGATTGTTGTTCATATCAGGACTTCATATACACAAAGAGCAGTTAAGCACTCTTGGTGAAAGCTGTATAAGGGAATTGAAGCTTGAGTTTATACACTATGTTTGTAATTATACCAACATTGGCTCACCTGGTGGGAATTTGATAACAATCTGGACAACGGTAGCACCTCCTTTGTTAGCTATCAGTTCAGAGGTATTAGTGATGAGATTAATTCTGTTGGCCACAAAATTACCAGATCTTCCTGGAGGAGATTAATTTGATTTAGAAATTTAAAGCTGAACAATATAGTGTTCGTTCTGTACCACAGGAGGTTGGTGGCACCTTAATTGGGGAGGACGGGTTCATGGTAACGGCTGGAGCGGAATCAGTGGAATGGTATCAAATACATCAAACACGTGGTTTTCCATGTGTTTTATGCCATTCCATTCGCTCCGTTCCAACCATTATTATGAGCCGTCCTCCCCTCAGCAGCCTCCACTGTTCTGTACTTGTCTGTAGTACAACAAATCAAATCCATACCAAACCTTATTGACCAACAGTAGAGGAGAAACATATGAAAAATAAGATTTTAAGAAGTTTAACCAGTCTGTTAACACAGATACAGTGGGGAGAACAAGTATTTGATACACTGCCGATTTTGCAGGTTTTCCTACTTACAAAGCATGTAGAGGTCTGTAGTTTTTATCATAGGTACACTTCAACTGTGAGAGACGGAATCTAAAACAAAAATCCAGAAAATCACATTGTATGATTTTTAAGTAATTAATTTGCATTTTATTGCATGACATAAGTATTTGATCACCTACCAACCAGTAAGAATTCCGGCTCTCACAGACCTGTTAGTTTTTCTTTAAGAAGCCCTCCTGTTCTCCACTCATTACCTGTATTAACGGCACCTGTTTGAACTCGTTACCTGTACAAAAGACACCTGTCCACACACTCAATCAAACAGACTCCAACCTCTCCACAATGGCCAACACCAGAGAGCTGTGTAAGGACATCAGGGATAAAATTGTAAACCTGCACAAGGCTAGGATGGGCTACAGGACAATAGGCAAGCAGCTTGGTGAGAAGGCAACAACTGTTGGCGCAATTATTAGAAAATGGAAGAAGTTCAAGATGACGGTCAATCACCCTCGGTCTGGGGCTCCATGCAAGATCTCACCTCGTGGGGCATCAATGATCATGAGGAAGGTGTGGGATCAGCCCAGAACTACACGGCAGGACCTGGTCAATGACCTGAAGAGAGCTGGGACCACAGTCTCAAAGAAAACCATTAGTAACACACCATGCCGTCTTGGATTAAAATCCTGCAGCGCACGCAAGGTCCCCCTGCTCAAGCCAGCGCATGTCCAGGCCCGTCTGAAGTTTTCCAATGACCATCTGGATGATCCACAGGAGGAATGGGAGAAGGTCATGTGGTCTGATGAGACAAAAATAGAGCTTTTTGGTCTAAACTCCACTCGCCGTGTTTGGAGGAAGAAGAAGGATGAGTACAACCCCAAGAACACCATCCCAACCATGAAGCATGGAGGCGGAAACATCATTCTTTGGGGATGCTTTTCTGCAAAGGGGACAGGACGACTGCACCGTATTGAGGGGAGGATGGATGGTGCCATGTATCGCGAGATCATGGCCAACAACCTCCTTCCATCAGTAAGAGCATTGAAGATGGGTCGTGGCTGGGTCTTCCAGCATGACAACGACCCGAAACACACAGCCAGGGCAACTAAGGAGTGGCTCCGTAAGAAGCATCTCAAGGTCCTGGAGTGGCCTAGCCAGTCTCCAGACCTGAGTCCAATAGAAAATCTTTGGAGGGAGGGGAAAGTCTGTATTGCCCAGCGACGGCCCCGAAACCTGAAGGATCTGGAGAAGGTCTGTATGGAGTAGTAGGCCAAAATCCCTGCTGCAGTGTGTGCAAACCTGGTCAAGACCTACAGGAAACGTATGATCTCTGTAATTGCAAACAAAGGTTTCTGTACCAAATATTAAGTTCTGCTTTTCTGATGTATCAAATACTTATCTCATGCAATAAAATGCTAATTAATTACTTAAAAATCATACAATGTGATTTTCTGGATTTTTGTTTTAGATTCCATCTCTCACAGTTGAAGTGTACCTATGATAAAAAATTACAGACCTCTACATGCTTTGTAAGTAGGAAAACCTGCAAAATCGGCAGTGTATCAAATACTTGTTCTCCCCACTGTATAAACTATCACTTTAAATGCCAGTATGTAGTTTCACTAGCAGTCCCACCCACCAGTCGGAGCAGTAAACTGGATCCCTACTGTGTCACTTGGTACTTGGACAGACAGGACTACCAGGTTGGGCTGAACCAAGGACACATTATTCTGCTGGTCCAGGGAAAACTTATCCAGGGTCTCTGTGAGGCTGGGAGCGAAACACAGAAAATAATTTGTTTACATGCACCCATGCAGACACGCATAAACTCAAACATATGCAGAAACACATACACACACCTTTGGACAGCGTCTCTCTCCTTTGCACTCTCCTTCCTGGCATTCAGCAGCTGACTGATGGTAGTTACAGCTGCCACTGCGATGTCCTGCAACATAATCAAAACCAGGGGATGACCCTCAAGTGTTCAAATCACTGCAATAACAACCTCACGTTTATCTCCAGAACATGTCATAGACACGACTTGACTCCAAAACATGTTATACCTCTGTGATATTTACAGACTGAAGCAGAGTGTTAGCTATCTGAGCTGCTGTGGTGATGTTGTCAGCTGATAGCCGCTCTGGTTGGGAGGTCAGGATCTGAGTACTGAAGGCTAGCTGTGCTAAATCACCTGAACTGCTGGAGATCTGAATAGGGAGAGAGAATGATTTTTATTTAGTGTAGTATTGTATTGTTTTTGTATAAGTGGCAGGAACATGTTGAACTGTGAGTATATTTGGATATTAAAATTGACAATACTAACTACGTGGCTCAGTTGGTAGAGCAAGGCAATTGCAACGCCAGGGTTGTGGGTTCGATTCCCACGGGGGACCAGTATGAAAATGTATACACTCACTACTGTAAGTCACTCTGGATAAGAGTGTCTGCTAAATGACTAAATGTAATGTAAAACACAAGAAAGAAAAAAAAGAATGTTCCTCATCAACTGTTAAGCAGAATAAAGGAACAGAATACATGAGCTGAAGGTAAAAGCCAGTTGATACTGATCTTCAAACTGTAAGATCGACTCCTCATAATGATAACTGTAACTGACCCAAAGAAAGAAGAACGCAAAATTGAGACTTGTCATAAATCAGGATCATAAATAAAAAATAATATTGACTTACATTTCCTTGAATGTCACTGAGGGTCAATTCACAGTCCAACTCCACAGGATAACCAAACATCGGAGATCCAGTGTCATTCAAACATCTTGCTAAGGCTGCTGGTAATCCGGCTGGAGGAACCAATATAAAAAGATACTCAAGATTTTGTGTTACCTTATACACCATTAATTAGGACTGTAACAGAATAATACATTTTGTCAGTTTAGGTGAATAAAAGTAACATACCACTGGTTGTCTCCTCACCACACTGTTGTTCTGAATAAGCAGACAAGTCAACTATTGTTCTTGGGAAGGAGAATCCATCCTTGATGGTGGAAATGCAGAAATTCTCTATTGAAGTAAAATACATTTCAACATGGACCAAATGTATGACTAAACATGAAATATCCATTCTGAATGTGAGATCCAAGGAATAGTGTTGTGGACTCTGAATGTGAGATCCATGGTTAAGAGTAGTGTAGTGGTCTGTACTGTGAATGTGAGATCCAGGGTTAGGTATAGTGTAAGTGTGTGGATTTACCCTCTGAACAGGTCTCTCCGGTCCACTCATCAGGACAGATACAGTCTCCACTCTCCAGCTCACCACCATTGATACAGACCAGAGGAGGGGTTGTGGTGGGAGAGGTGGTGGGAGAGGTGGTGGTGGTGGGAGAGGTGGTGGTGGGAGAGGTGGTGGGAGAGGTGGTGGGAGAAGTGGTGGTGGGGGTAGGGGTAGAGGTGGTGGGGAGAGTGGTACTGGTGACAGGGATAGAGGTGCACTCATCAGGACAGATACAGTATCCACTCTTCAGCTCACCACCTTTGATACAGACCAGAGGAGGGGTTGTGGTGGGAGAGGTGGCTGGAGTAGTTATGTCAATGGTGGTTGGAATGGCAGAGGATGTGGTGAGATCCCCCTGTAGCAAAGAGACTGCCCCAAAAATATATATATACACCTCAGTAAACCACATAAACAAGGGTACATAGTGTCAATTGCTATAAGCATAGCAGATGATCCATGTTGTTCCAGTTTCATTGTTTGTTAAGCAGTGTAGAAATGTTTTCTACTGTACTTTATGAGATAATTAAGTCATTATCACTGCCAATAAACGGTAGACATTTGATAGCAAAGGCTACTCTGTTATAAACTGTATCTGAGACCTGACAGTAGTCTATTCACAGTATGTAAACAACTGCTTAACAGTAAATCTAAATAATGTTTGGATTAAAATAAAGTCTGAAACAATGTCTTTATTGATGCTATTGTATCCCTTGCAGCAAACAGACAAAACATAATTCAACCATTAACTATAAACAAAACTTAAAAATTCATAAACCAAACTGTAAAAACAGAGGTCATAAATTGGTAATAATCAATTGATAAATAAAATGTGTCATACATTTTTGCACATCTGAAGTGAAAGGAATTTTCCTAGACAATTCTCAATCATACGAGAAACTAAACAACAGCATCATACACTGATTATACCAAACAGTAGGAACACCTTCACACACACACACACACACACTTTTCCCCTCAGAACAGTCTCAATTCATCAGGACATGGACTCTACAAGGTGTCGAAAGCATTTCACAGGGATGCTAGCCCATGTTGACTCCAATGCTTCCCACAGTTGTGTCAAGTTGGCTGGATGTCCTTTGGGTGGTGAACCATTCTTGAAACACACAGGAAAATGTTGAACGTGAAAAACCGAGCAGCGTTGCAGTTCTTGACACAAACTGGTGCGCCTGGCACTTACTACCACACCCCGTTTTGTCTTGCCTATTCACCCTCTGAATGGCACACATACACAATCCATTCCTAATTGTCTCAAGGCTTACAAATCCTTCTTTAACCTGTCTCCTCACCTTCATCTACACTGATTGAAGTGGATTTAACAAGTGACATCAATAAGGGATCATTGCTTTCACCTGGATTCACCTGGCCTTCGAAAAGGTTTCAGATTGATGACAGAAATAACGTATTTACATAAGTATTTGCTATGAGACTCGAAATTGAGCTCAGGTGCATCTTGTTTCCATTGACCATCCTTAAGCTGTTTCTACAACTTGATTGGAGTCCACCTGTGGTAAATTCAATTGATTGGACATGGAAAGGCACACACCTGTCTATATAAGGTTCCACAGTTAGAGCAAAAACCAAGCCTTGAGGTCGAAGGAATTGTCTGTAGAGCTCCGAGACAGGATTGTGTCGAGGCACAAATCTTGGGAAGGGTACCAAACAATGTCTGCAGCATTGAAGGTCCCCAATCCATCATTCTTAAATGGAAGAAGTTTGGGACCACCAAGACTCTTCCGAAATCTCTGGAGAGACCTGAAAATAGCTGTACAGAAATGCTCCCCTTTCAAATTGACAGAACTTGAGAGTATCTGCAGAGAAGAATGGAATAACTCCCCAAATACAGGTGTGCCAAGCTTGTAGCGTCATACCTAAGACTCGATGCTGTAATATCTGGCTAAGGTGTTTTAACAAAGTACTGAGTAAAGGGTCTGAATACTTAAGTAAAAATAATATTTCAGTTTTTTATTTTTTATTAATCAGCAAAAATGTCTAAAAACCTGTTTTTGCTTCGTCATTATGTGGTATTGTGTGTATATTGATGAAGAACAAAAACAATGTAATCGATTTTAGAATAAGGCTGTAACGTAACAAAATGTGGAAAAAGTTAAGGGGTCTGAATACTTTCCGAAAGCACTGTATGTCATGGAAAGGGCATGTGTTCTTAATGTTTTGTCCACTCAGTGTACATCTGAACATCTTAAATCACCCTGAATAATTCAAATATAGAGCAAGTCTTACCTGTAGCAAAGACAGCCATAATCCATAGCTCCTTCATCTCTGCTGTTTCCAGGCATGCAGTGTAAGCAGACTGCACATTATTAGGACGTCTGTTGGTCTTATACTGCTCTGTTCTTCACCTGTCAGGACCAGTCAACCAATAGCATTACCCTTTTCTATGCAAAACATTCTTGGTTGCAGCTGGGAAGGTACAGTACATGTTTCGGTAAACAGAACAACTTTTTTCCACTAGAGCAGGTGTAATTAGATTTCCTGATTAGAGGGGAATAATATTTTTGAAAAGCAATGGAACTGGCTTGGAGGTCTGGATTAGAATTTGAGGGCACTAGACGGTAGACTTCTCTTGAACAAGGTTTCCCAAACTCGGTCCTGGGGCCTACCTGGGTGCATGTTTTGGTTTTTGCACTAGCACTACACAGTTAATTCAAATAACCAACTCATCGTCAAGGTTTGGTTATTTGAATCAGCAATGTAGTGCTAGAACAAAAACCAAAATGGGAAAGCCTGTTCTAGAGCATGGTACTATGCTGAGGTGCATGTAACACAAAGCTCATCGTATACTGAGAGTAAACAGTTCCAATGAAAGGCAGTTGTTTCTAAAGGAACCATGGTAATAGGAAAGATGAACCCAACTGCAGAGATGACAAATGGTGCCTTTACATTGTTGTGATTAATTCATGTAATTAATGAAATAGACAATAGATGCAAAGCTGCCGCAGCATACCCATTTTATTGTTATTTAACAATGTACATGTCATTTAGAAACAATTGAATTGTTGAGTACTGTCAACATGAACATGTGCATTGACACCAGCACACAACCATATGGACTCAATCTGACCACTGCTCTTCCCTTCTCTTAACCCTTTCCCTGTTCCTTTACAGTTCTGGAAGGCTCCTCTCATTAAGGCCACATCATGCCCTGACCTAGTCATGGGTACGTCCCAGTAATATCTCCTTCCTCCTGAAGTGTACAGTCCTTCACTACTTCACCCACAAATCTAAAAACATTGGATTCACAACCGGGAACATCTCCACACCCCCGTAGATGAGCGGCGCTATGCAGAAGAACCCAGCACTGGTCATGGAGATCACCAGGTAGCTGATGTTGTTTTTGGGCAGGGCCATGAAGCTGAAGAGGGAGGGGATGATACTGAGCAGGTAGGGGTACTCCCACTGGTAGGGAGCAGCCACCACGCTGTGGGACACCAGGTTCAGCTGGCTCACCGTCACCTGGGCAGCTAAGAGGAGCCAGATCATGTGCACATAAAAAGGGCAGACGAGCCATGTCAGCCCTTCACTCACTGTTACCAGTCAGTGTACATCCTGAGAACCCTCCGCTGATGCCAAACATGAGGGATGGTTCGCACACAACAGCTCACTGAGATGTGTTCACTTACTTTGACTCTAACCGACATGCAAAATAAAAGTATGCAAAATAGAAGTATACAGTCTGTCACTATTTGCAGTCCAACCAAGGTGCATGGCCCTAATGAAGGCTCAAAGGCTGAACTCATTGTTTTTAATAATAAAGAAACACTTTTTATTGAACTGTCACTTTTTTTGGCAAAATGTATAGTAGTTCTCCAAGAATGTAGCCCTATATAATATAATATGCCATTTAGCAGACGCTTTTATCCAAAGCGACTTACAGTCATGTGTGCATACATTTTTACGTATGGGTGGTCCCGGGGATTGAACCCGGGACCACCCATTAATAATAAAGAAACACTTTTTATTGAACTGTCACTTTTTTCCCTATAATTGTGGGCAAAATGTTTAGCAGTTCTCTAAGAATGTACCCCTAAATGAACCTTATGAAACAAATGAACCTTGAATTCTTGAAATTAGACATACAGTCTATAAGCGAAAGTGAATATGCTAAAAGTGTTTTTATAAACATCTCTACCTATCTGCACATTAATGAGGAAAACCGGTGAACAGTTTAGATGGACCATTCCACTATCCATAAGAAATCCCCCTTTAGAGGAAGAGTATTGGCGCCACAACATGGCAGTTGAAGGTAGAGACAGAGGAGGCTTCGTCAACATCTAATCATATTTTATTTGTCACATGCTTCGTGAACAACAGGTGTAGACTAACAGTGAAATGCTTACTTATGGGTCCTTTTCCAACAATGCAGAGTTAAACATCAAAAATAGACATAGTGACAGAAGGAATAAATACACAGTGACATGCATACTTCAATGCATTGAGACTTACTAATGGTGGGAATGTGATACACCGCTGGGTACCTAATGAGTAGTGTTGCAAAATTCCAGTAACTTTCAATAAATTCCCTGGTTATCCAAAAATCATGGTTTGAGGATTCAGGATTTCCTGCTTATTCCTTCCTGACACAGGGAAACCTCCAACCAGGATTTTGGGAAAACCATGTAATTTATTGTAAATTCATGGACTATTGCAACCCTACTAAGGAGATATCCTAACTGTCATATATAGTGACAATAATAGTGCCTGTTGAGGTAGAGGAAAACCAAATCATATGTAAATAAGAATTAGTATAAACTCTACATCAGACTTTGTTTGAGGAGCACAACGCAGATATACAGTACAGTGTGAACTTCATAATTCCTGGTGACATCAACATCACCCCTTTAGGTCACAGTCATTCTTTAGGCAACTACTGTACTCTTGTTTTTCCTAGGTCTAGTTTAGGCTAGTATCGATTGGATATGGGCCCGCGAGCCCATTCATTCCGGCCCAGAATAATTCATTTCATTCTTCTGATTATTATTATTATTTTTTATCTCAAACGACAGTGAAATGACTCAAACCAAATCGAAATTGTGTTGAAATGATAATGGATCAACATTTATAGTCTCTTCACTCTGCCCAGCTTGCTAAAAGTGATCTTAACAAAACCTAGACATTCAGGCAGCCTGGAAAATTCCAAAAGCGCTGGATAGAGGACTATCTTTAGCAAATGTTGACTGTGAGGAAGTATAATATCTAAAATACATCGCTGTCGGCTCACCTGACAGGTACTCGCCACCCTGTGCCTTCTATGAGCCGGACGACACTGTAATCGCTACTCCTTCTTCCAAGCGGGCTATCATGTGCCTTTTACTGAGGAGTGGCTTCCGTCTGCAGGGATGGTTGTCCTTCTGGAAGGTTCTCCCATCTCCACAGAAGAACTCTGGAGCTCTGTCAGAATGACCACCGGGTTCTTGGTCACCTCCCTCACCAAGGCCCTTCTCTCCCAATTGCTCAGTTTGGCCAGGCGGCCAGCTCCAGAAAGAGTCTTTGTGGTTCCAAACTTCTTCCATTTAAGAATGATGGAGGCCACTGTCTTCTTGGAGACCTTCAATGCTGCAGAAATGTTTTGCATTCTTCCTCAACCTTTCATACCTCCCTCTGACATGCCTTCTTTCTTCCTCAGCCTTTCATACCTCCCCATGACATGCCTGGTTTAGTCCTCATCCTTTCATACCTCCTTCTGACATACCTGTTTTCTTCCTCAGCCTTTCATACCTCCCTCTGACATGCCTGCTTTCTTCCTCAGCCTTTCATACCTCCCTCTGACATGCCTGCTTTCTTCCTCAGCCTTTCATACCTCCCTCTGACATGCCTGCTTTCTTCCTCAGCCTTTCATACCTCCTTCTGACATTCCTGCTTTCTTCCTCAGCCTTTCAGACCTCCCTCTGACATGCCTGCTTTCTTCCTCAGCCTTTCATACCTCCCTCTGACATGCCTGCTTTCTTCCTGAGCCTTTCATACCTCCCTCTGACATGCCTGCTTTCTTCCTGAGCCTTTCATACCTCCCTCTGACATGTCTGTTTTCTTCCTCAGCCTTTCATACCTCCTTCTGACATGCCTGGTTTCTTCCTCAGCCTTTCATACCACCCCCTGACATACCTGTTTTCTTCCTCAGCCTTTCATACCTCCCTCTGACATGCCTGCTTTCTTCCTGAGCCTGTCATACCTCCTTGATCTCTGGCTGGCGAACCCTCTCATCCTTGCTGTCCCGCAGCATCAGAGCCTGACCTGCTTTGTTGCCTTGTACTACCACAGATGTAATTGGCAGCTGGAGCTTGTTGCCTGAGCTATATAGGCTGGTGGAGCAGAAGCTTTGTAGCCCTTTCCTGCAGTCAATGACCAAAAGTGCCCTCTTTGGCCTCATGGGTGGAATGTTATTAATCATTTCATAATTAATACGTTTTTCATTTTATGAGGATGAAAATCTGGTGTTTCTATGTCAAACAGTTTTGTTATATTTCAGTCTTCTGTGATGTATATAAAGTGTAATATTAGGATGGAAACTCAAAATGGCATAGATTTCAACTCTATATCTGGCATTGTACAGGTGTCTTCTTTTTTTAAGCCCATAACCATGTGTGTGTGGTGTATACTTTTGTTTGAAGGTAGATTTGTTACCAACCAAGACAACCAAGAATCACTCTGTGTGACCCTGATTTAGCCCACTGCAGTAAAAGGTTCATACATTTTAAGTGCGGCCTTGGTAAAGAACGAACGTGGCCCGCAGGGAAAATTATGTAGTTTGACATCCCTAGGCTACACTGTCTAAAGATATTTTCTGAGATATTGTGTAAAGTAGTGTAATTTCTCACAAAAAATACTGAAACAAACATTCGATTCAAAGAGAATAATCACAGTTTTATTCAAAACAGTTATATTTCAAAAAACACATACAGTATGTATATACAGTATGTGCATAGCCCAAAAATCCTTGGACAACACAACTTCTGAGGGAATTTACAGTAAAAATACATTGATACAAAATGGTGTGTATTATTCTGTATATTATAGGAAATAGTGGCGGTATATGAGATATTTTCCAACAGAGGTTGAACTTGCAGCCCATCAGTTAGATGTCTGTGAGGAACAAGGTGGAAATGACAGATCAGTGTCCAGCTGTGTGTATGATTTTACTTTTTCACTTTGCTCGCCTCGCCATAGACTGAACTTCTTGGTGTGAAGAGGGATCCCAGCGCTTGAGACAGATTTCAAAGCACTTGACATCGTTTTCTTGACAATTGCTGTTCTTGCTGTGAACAGAATGAAAACCTGCAAGCCCTGTGGAGCGAAAACAAAAACACAAAGACATAATCAAGTATTTTCAGGAATAAACACGTACAAACAAAAGGTAGCGTTTCTATAAAGAGCAGCAGAATTTATTAATGTTTAGTAGCTGTCTAGTTTTCAATCATGTCTGGATTCTGTGGTACAATAGTACACTAGTCTTTATATTTAACATTTGAGTCATTTAGCAGACTCTCTTATCCAGAGCGACTTACAGTAGTGAGTGCATACATTTACTACCTGAGTGGTGGTGAGTACACAGAAGGAGATGTTGAGTATGGTGTACATGGTCTGGTTCTGTGTAATGAGCAACAGATAGCCCAGGATCCAGGAGAGACCGAGCACCACAGCCAGAGAAAAGCTACTGAGGAACTTCTTCTTCATCGATGTGTGTCTTGTACTGGGAAATATAACCAACATGCTTAGATTGCGGTCATAGACTGCTGTAATGCTGTGGTAAAATAACATTATGCTTCCCAATGACTGAGTGGGTTAGAGAATGGTGCTCATCAAATTGTATGAATTTGCTTACTTATGACTGAATTAATAATAAAAAAAGCATGCATTTTATTTATAAAAAGTTTTAATTGAAAGACAATAAAAAATTAACAAGCTTATTAGTAGGCATTTAAATCAAGACTGATCTTAATGACTACAACGTTCTACTTTGTGCCCCCAAAATGCCCCCATTAATGTTACCTGGTTATATGTGGGTTGGTCTTGGATGTGGTATCTACAAAATATACCAACACCACCATGTTGAAGATAAGCATGAATGCCACAGGGATCAGGAACCCCCAAAACATTGGCAGCTTGAAGTCAAAGTTCCCCTTTGGATCGAGGGCAGCAAGCCAGCAACTGAGAGGTCAAATGAATGAGTTAGAGAGTGGGACTTTGTGACAGACAAAACAGGACACCAGTGATTTGAACAACATGGTATTAAGTAAACATGGTGGGTGGCATAAGTAAACAAGAAACCTTTCAACACAATGGATCATTCTTTTAGTTTTTTACAACTTTTGAAATTGCTCTTTGCCATCGTTAAAAGGATGTAATACGAACATTGATAGGGAAAACCTTTTACAGTATGAGTTATAACATTTTATACAGCAATTGCCCCACATTGACATTGGTAGTACAGTACAGTATAGTACAATACAGTACAATTCATGTGAGAGATATCGATCACCTCCAGCTCGTGGCATCAGCCAATCAGACTGTTCCCATGCACCCCACACTCTGCCCACGCACTGACCATGTATCCTGTGATTGGTCAGATGCTCCAAGCTAGCCCAGCACTGGCTAGTCGGGTCTGTTGCATGCTCTTTCAAGCATATCAGTATTTTTCGGGCCTGAACTGTGTTTTTTCCAGTGTCAGAGCGTGGGTAGACATATGTGCATGAGATGCGTGAATACAAAAATCATCCCCATGTACATCTTCTCCTGTGTGTTGAATAAAGTTCCTGTTGTGTGTTAACTCTTGGACTGCCTTACTCCTCTCTCACCGGGGGCGGTGTCAGTGGGTCACAAACCAGTAAATAGGTCGAGCCGGGTCGCTCAAGTACAGTATAGTATAGTACAATACAATACAGTACAGAGAAGTAATACAGTAGTAGTATAGTATAGTATTGACTCACAATTCCTCCTGCCTGTAACCCAGTGGATCATCCACTCTGTAACTAATTCCTAAGGTGAGGGCCACCACAACCGCAGGCAGTCCTAAAGGACAGAGAATGTTGTTGTTATGCCCTGGTAGATTAGCATGCAGACATATACAGATTATATACTAAACATACATCCTCTAAAGACATAACATCACTATACAAGTTGCTTTGAAGTTCTATTTCAGGCTTATTAGAGCCTGAAAATATAACCTAGCATTCGTTTTGGTTCAAGGAGCCCAGGGCTAATGCCAGCCAAAGCTTCTGAAACAACTAAATACTTTATTTTTCTCCAAGCTGTCCTACCCCATCCGATGGCCACGGTATAGGCTGTGAAATGTGACAGGTTGGTGGCCAGGCTGTTTCTGATCATCAGGAAGACATGTGTGGCGTACAGTGTGTTCCAGGTGAACGTCCCCAACAGGAAGTACTGCAGCAGGACTGTGACTGCAGTACAGGGGCCTCTGTCCCGCTCTGTGTGTGTGTGTCAGACGGGGGGGGATTGTTGTCCTCCTGTATTTCAGGTTTATTCAGCTGTTTATGAGGGTTGTCCACTCCCAACATGAAGAGGAGGGTGAAGATCAGGAGACACATGCAGACGCTCACTAAGAGGACCGTTGGGTTGGTTTTGCGTGATTTCCTGGGGATAGGTGATAGACAACACTGTTAGGGAAGTTAGATGCCTTGCTAGGGATGTGTTGGGTCATTAATATTGGGTTTCATATTGACTTCACCTATCAAGTCGTGTTGGATCAAAGGGCTTCTTTACACTATTGAGATGCACCCAATATTTTGAATTGGTTCTGGAACCCTGTAGGATCTTACCGGGTCACGATATGGAATGTTATTGTATATGTTGAATTGGTTCTGGAACCCTGTAGGATCTTACCGGGTCACGATCTGGAATGTTATTGTATATGTTGAATTGGTTCTGGAACCCTGTAGGATCTTACCGGGTCACCATCTGGAATGTTATTGTATATGTTGAATTGGTTCTGGAACCCTGTAGGATCTTACCTGGTTGCGATCTGGAATGTTATTGTTAAACTCAACCCTATGATGGACATGGAGCATCCCAATATGGTGATCCAGTTTAGAGCTTCAGCGTATTTAAAATCCCTCCTGAATGACTGTAGAAAAAAATAAAAGTTAAACACTACATTTCTGTCACAGTCATACTGTATAAAGTAATCTCCCTTATGTGTCTGGATATGCTGATATAAACAATAGGTCAGAGTGTGGTCAGTTAAAGGGAGATGAAGGGAGCTAGCTACTCGCCATAAGCACAGCGAAGTTAGTGGTGTGATTACAGAAACATCGCAGGCCGTCTTCTGAGTGGTTGACTTTGGAGCAGCCAGAGGTGCTCCAGTCTTTCAACGTGTAGTTCCACGACACGCAGGCAAAGTCATAGAGGGAGGCGTTGGAGACAGCCTGAGAAGTGAGAACAGAAACAAACTCACTGTAAATCCTTCAGCAAAAGACATGCATTCACAGTATTCCTCATTTAAAAAATAATGAAGTCATTTGTGAAGTATAACAGGTCATTAAGTAAATGTGAGACAGAATAAATTACAATTATGATAGATCATATTATATTCAATACAAAATATGCTTCCTTTTTCACTGGCCAAAATATGCTTCCTTGTTCCTTATGGCGGAAAAGCGTCAATGGATAACTTAGGCCACAGGCACATCATGTTTTTGATTTAACCGACCTGGACGACAAGGTGTGTTGATTATAATTAACTCAGTTGGTCAGGTGTAGTGCCTAGTTGGAACAAAATCCTGCAATACCTGCAGCACTCCAGGAACTGTACTGCCTGCCCCTGACTTAGATAATGGATAACTTCCCACTACGTTTCCCAGAGAATTTGGACCACTATGTGTTTATTGATTCCAAGATAAATCTTACTGTGGGCTTGAAGAGCATCTCAACATGCAACCCAGACACTTGTCCCAGGTTAGCAGAGATGACCCTTCTGCTGGTTCCTGAAGAAGCTGTGAATGCCCTGGACCTGAAGAACCGGTCGTTTTGGTAGAGCACAAAACCAATGGAGTAGTTTGTGTTTTTATTACGTAAATCTGAGTGGAGTGAGGGAGAAAGAGAGAGGGGAGAGTGGAGAGAAAGGGGAGAGGGAGAAAGACAGAAAGAGAGAGAGGGACAGGGGGGGGGGGGGGGGGGGACATCTTTATAAAACTGTACATAGCCGTAAAATGACATTTGAAATGGCTCTTTTCCTTTGAAACTTTTGTGAGTGTAATGATTACTGTTAATTTTTTATTGGTTATTTCACTTTTGTTTATTATCTATTTCACTTGCTTTGGCAATGTAAACATGTTTCCCATGCCAATAAACCCCTTTCAATTGAATTGAGCAAGAGAGACAGAGAGAGAGAGAGAGAGAGAGAGAGAGAGAGAGAGAGAGAGAGAGAGAGAGAGCGAGAGAGAGAGAGAGAGAGAGAAAGAGAGATGAGAGAGAGAGAGAGAGAGAGAGAGAGAGAGAGAGAGAGAGAGAGAGAGAGAGAGAGGGGGGAGGAGAGAGAGAGAGATTGTTGTTCATATCAGGACTTCATATACATGAGTAGCTTGACTTTTCCTTGTAGGCTTATTGTGGAAGCCAAATTACTTCTCATTAGTTTACTTATCCATATCTCATGTGACTCAACGTTATTGGGCAATCTAAATATTTGGCACTGCTGACCTGATTTCGAAGACCACAAACAGCAGTTAAGTGCTCTCTGTGATATCGGTAAGAGGAAATTGAAGCTTGAGTTCATACACTATGTTGGTATACCAACATTGGCTCACCTGGTGAGAATTTGATAACAATCTGGACATCGGTAGAACCGCCGTTGTCAACTATCAGTTCAGAGGTATTGGTGTTGAGATGAATTCTGTCGGCCACAAAATTACCAGATCTTCCTGGAGGAGATTAATTTGATTTATACATTTAAAGAGGAACAATATAGTGTTACTTCTGTACTTGTCTGTAGTACAACAAATCAAATCCATACTAAACCTTATTAACCAACAGCAGAGGAGAAACATATGAAAAATAAGATAGAAGAAGTTGAACTAGTCTGTCAACACAGATATAAACTATCACTTTAAATGCAGTATGTAGGTTCACTAGCAGTCCCACCCACCAGTCAGAGCACTAAACTGGATCCCTACTGTGTCACTTGGTACTTGGACAGACTGGACTACCAGGTTGGGCTGAACCACCAAGGACACAAAACTGTGCTGGTACAGGGAAAACTTCTCCAGGGTCTCTGTGAGGCTGGGAGAGAAACACAGAAAAGCATTAGTTTACATGCACCCATGCAGACACGCACAGAGACACACGTACACACATAAACTCAAACATATGTAGAAACACACACACACACACTCCTGTACTTTTGGACAGCGTCTCTCTCCTGTGTAATCTCCCCACTGGCATTCAACAGATGACTGATGGTAGTTACAGCTGCCACTGCGATGTCCTGCAACATGATCAAAACCAGGGGATGACCCTCAAGTGTTCAAATCACTGCAGTAACAACCTCACGTTTATCTCCAGAACATGTCATAGTCACGACTTGATTCCAAAACATGTTATACCTCTGTGATATTTACAGACTGAAGCAGAGTGTTAGCTATCTGAGCTGCTGTGGTGATGTTGTCAGCTGATAGCAGCTCTGGTTGGGAGGTCAGGATCTGAGTACTGAAGGCTAGCTGTGCTAAATCACCTGAACTGCTGGAGATCTGAATAGGGAAAGAGAATGATTTTTATTTATTTTAGTATTGTATTGTTTTTCAGCAGAACATTGTATAAGTGGCAGCAACATGCTGAACTGTGAGTACATTGGGATATTAAAATTGCCAATACTAACTATGTGGCTCAGTTGGTAGAGCAAGGCGCTTGCAACACCAAGGTTGTGGGTTCGATTCCCACGGGGGATCAGTAAGAAAAAGTAGGAAAATGTAAGTCGCTCTGGATAAGAGTGTCTGCTAAATGACGAAATGTAATGTAAAACTGTCATGAGCCCTCTCACTCCACCGGGTTACCACCTTAATTTGTTTCCACTATCTTCCACTTTGCTCACCACTCTCTCTCTACTCAGCCTAACTAGCTCCACCTGTCCCTGCTCTGCTCGGCTCTAATTACTCTGCCAGCTGCGCTGCATTACCCACTAACCTCTCCCAGTATTTAAAGTCCTGTCTTTCAGCTCTCCTTTGTCAGATCGTCTGCAAAGCTCACACCCGGAACCTGTTTGCTCGCGCTTCTGGCTCACCCTTGTTTTGTGACCCCGGACCTGCCTGATTCTTGGATACTCTTCTGCCCCAGGAAAACCAGACCTGCTTTCTGCCATTACGACTCCTGACTACTCTTCGACCCCGGTAACTCTGACCAGCCTTCTGCCTTGCTACAACGTGTTTGGATTTCCCTTGAACTGTACTTCTGCCTTGTTTCATCCGCCCCGTTGTGTCTGTGTTTCCTCCCCCCCAGGACTTCTGGACCACCAACCACCGGCGTCATCGGACGCATCGCTGCCACTGGGGGGGGGGCACAGACCCAGCACACTGGACGGAATACCCCTGGAGCCTTCACTCACTCCCTACTTCCCTTTTTCCTTAAGTTTAATAAACTTTCTGGTGTGACGCAATTGTGGTCCTCTTGTCGTCTGTCTGAACCGTGACAGTACGATCTGACCATTATGGACTCAGCGCACACTTCCCCCGACATGGAAACCGAAGAACCTGAGCCACCCACCGCCATGCTACGCCTGGAACACACTGAGAGAGAGCTAGGCCGCATGAGCGGCGACATCACCTCTCTGCTTCAGGTCGGCCACCAACAGCATCAGCAGTTCCAGCAGCACCAGCAGCAGTCCCAGCAGCAGCAACAACAACTCGCCATGATCATCCAACTCCTCACCAACCTTACCCCAGCCAGTCTGCCCACCAGCCCTGCCTCCGAGTTACCTGCCCCGGTCATTGCAGCCGCTGCCCCGGAACCCAAGATTGGAAACCCCGAGCGGTTCAACGGCGATTCTACCCAGGTCCGGCCATTCCTGACTAGCTGCCGACTTCAGTTCTCCTTGCAGCCAAGGACCTTCGCCACGGAGGGGGCTAAGGTCGGGTATGCCATCACTCACCTGACGGGCCGAGCTCGACTCTGGGGAACAGCAGAGTTCGAACGTCAAACCCCCGCATGTGCAACCTTCGACCTGTTTGCTGAGGAGATGCTGAAGGTGTTTGACCTGGATTCACCAACCGCAGAGGCGTCTCGTGAACTGTTCAGTATTCGACAAGGCAGACGTACAGTCGCAGACCATTCCATCGACTTCCGAACCCTGGCAAGACGAAGTTCTTGGAACACACCATCGTTGGTGGACGCGTTCTTCCATAGCTTGGCTGACTATATCAAGGACGAGTTGGTCTCCCATGAACTGCCTTCCACTCTTGATGAAGCCATCGCACTGACTGTCCGGATCGACAGAAGGATACAGACCCGTCGTCGTGAGAGGGGGCGCCAAGGTCCACCAACTACCGGCATTCGGAGAGATCCGACTGGGCTCCTGTCAGCTACTGCCACTCACCCAAGTCAGCTTGATCAGTCTGAGCCTATGGAGATTGGGCGAGCCTCTCTCACTCCTGCAGAGCGCCAGCGCCGCTTCACCTCAAACCTCTGCCTCTATTGTGGAGGTGATGGACATCGTGTGGCAACCAACACAAGTCGTCCTGCCAGCCCCCAGCCGGATTGCTGCAGCCCCTGCCGGTGCCCAGACGTCCCTGGTCTCACATCGCCCTTGACTTTGTCACGGGGCTGCCCCCTTCAAGTGGCATGACCGTCATTCTCACCATAGTTGACCGATTCAGCAAGATGGCACACTTCATTCCCCTCCCCAAGCTCCCAACCGCCAAGGAGACCGCCCAGGTGGTCCTGGAACACGTCTTCCGGATCCACGGACTGCCAAAGGATGTAGTTTCTGACCGTGGTCCACAATTCTCCTCCGCTTTTTGGAAGGAGTTCTGTCACCTGCTGGGAGCCACAGTCAGTCTGACTTCCGGATTCCATCCCCAATCCAATGGGCAGTCAGAGCGGGCAAATCAGGAGCTCGAGAAGGCACTGCGATGCATGACTTCACGCAACCCCCACTCCTGGTCGCAGCAATTGACATGGGTGGAGTACGCACACAATTCTCTGACCTGCTCTGCCATCGGTATGTCCCCTTTCCAATGTGTTTATGGTTACCAGCCTCCTCTATTTGCCAGCCAGGAAGGGGAGGTTACTTGCCCATCTGCACTTGCTTTTGCCCGTCGATGTCGCCGCACCTGGTCACAAGCCCGAGCCACACTTCTCAGATCCGTTGCCAGCTACACTACCGGGGCCAACCGTCGGAGAATCCCTGCTCCCACCTACCATGTTGGTCAAAGGGTGTGGTTGTCGTCAAGGAACCTGCCACTCAGGGTGGAGTCGCAAAAGCTGGCACCTCGGTTCATTGGCCCATTCCCTATCATAAGAGTGATTAGCCCAACTGCTGTCCGGCTCCAACTGCCTAATTCCATGAGAGTGCACCCCACTTTCCATGTGTCTAAGATTAAGCCCATTCATGAGAGTCCGCTGGTCCCTGCTGCGCCTTGTCCTCCTCCTCCACAGCTCGTCGATGGTGGTCTGGTTTACACCGTCCGCCGCCTGCTTCGGTCCAGACGGAGGGGTAGGGGTCTCCAGTACCTCATTGACTGGGAGGGCTATGGACCTGAGGAAAGGACCTGGGTGCCGGCTAGTCGGATTGTGGATAGGACTCTCATCACCGCCTTCCACCAACGGCATCCTGATCAACCTGCAATCCGTAGGGGCCGCCCCAGAGGGATCCCTAACCGTCCTGCCCGCTCGGCTTCCTGTCCTGTGCCTGATCCTGTCTCGGTTCCTGTCCCATCTCCCGACCACGGCCCTCCGGCTTCCTCCGAGGATGAGGACGTTCGCTCGGACCGTTCGGAGGAGTTCTAGCCCTCCTCCGGCTCCCCTCCTCCCGCCCGGCGTGGTGTTGCTCTTGGGACTTCTGGGGCCGTCCCTTGGGGGGGGGGTTCTGTCATGAGCCCTCTCACTCCACCGGGTTACCACCTTAATTTGTTTCCACTATCTTCCACTTTGCTCACCACTCTCTCTCTACTCAGCCTAACTAGCTCCACCTGTCCCTGCTCTGCTCGGCTCTAATTACTCTGCCAGCTGCGCTGCATTACCCACTAACCTCTCCCAGTATTTAAAGTCCTGTCTTTCAGCTCTCCTTTGTCAGATCGTCTGCAAAGCTCACACCCGGAACCTGTTTGCTCGCGCTTCTGGCTCACCCTTGTTTTGTGACCCCGGACCTGCCTGATTCTTGGATACTCTTCTGCCCCAGGAAAACCAGACCTGCTTTCTGCCATTACGACTCCTGACTACTCTTCGACCCCGGTAACTCTGACCAGCCTTCTGCCTTGCTACAACGTGTTTGGATTTCCCTTGAACTGTACTTCTGCCTTGTTTCATCCGCCCCGTTGTGTCTGTGTTTCCTCCCCCCCAGGACTTCTGGACCACCAACCACCGGCGTCATCGGACGCATCGCTGCCACTGGGGGGGGGGCACAGACCCAGCACACTGGACGGAATACCCCTGGAGCCTTCACTCACTCCCTACTTCCCTTTTTCCTTAAGTTTAATAAACTTTCTGGTGTGACGCAATTGTGGTCCTCTTGTCGTCTGTCTGAACCGTGACAAAAACACAATAAAAATAAAATCCACATTAACTGTTAGGCAGAATACATGAGCTGAAGGTAAAAGCCAGTTGTTATTGATCTTCAAACTGTAAGATCCACTGTAAATCAAATCAATTGTGATTTGTCACATGCGCCAAATACAGCAGGTGTAGACTTTACCATGAAATGCTTACTTATGAGCCTTTTCCCAACAATGCAGAGTTAAAAATTATGAAAATTAGCACCCAAGGAAATAGTAACAATAAAATAACAATAACGAAGCTATATACAAGGAGTACCGGTACCGAGTCAATGTATTGAGATACGAGGTAGTTGAGTCGGTTGAGGTAATTGACCCAAAGACTGATCATAAATCGAGACTGGTCATAAATCAGGATCATAAAAAAATAACTGGCTGGAGGAACAAAGACAAAAAGATACTCAAGATTTTATGTTACCTAATACAACATTAATTAGGACTGTAACATTTATTTCATTTTAGGTGAATAAAAGCAACATACCACTGGTTGTATTCTCACCACACAATTGTTCTGAATAAGCAGACCAGCCAACTGTTGTTCTTGGGAAGGAGAATCCATAATTGATGGATGAATTGCAGAAACTCCCTATCGAAGTAAAATGCATTTCAACATGGACCAAATGTATGATTGCAAAAATGAAATATACATTCTGAATGTGAGATCCAGGGAACAGTGTTGTGGACTGTGCATGTGACATCCAGGGTTAGGTATAGTAGTGCAGTGGTGTGTACTGTGAATGTGAGATCCAGGGTTAGGTATAGTAGTGCAGTGGTGTGTACTGTGAATGTGAGATCCAGGGTTAGGTATAGTAGTGTAGTTGTGTTTACTGTGAATGTGAGATCCAGGGTTAGGTGTAGTGTAGTGGTGTGTACTGTGAATGTGAGATCCAGGGTTAGGTATAGTAGTGTAGTGGTGTGTACCGTGAATGTGAGATCCAGGGTTAGGTATAGTAGTGTAGTTGTGTGTACTGTGAATGTGAGATCCAGGGTTAGGTATAGTAGTGCAGTGGTGTATAGTGTAAGTGTGTGTTTACGTACCCTTTGAACAAGTCTCTCCGGTCCACTCATCAGGACAGATACAGACTCCACTCTGCAGCTCACCACCATTGATACAGACCAGAGGAGGGGTTGTGGTGATAGAGGTGGTGGGAGGGGTGGTGGGAGAGGTGGTGGTGGGGGTGGTCAGAGAGGTGGTGGGAGAGGTTGTGGTGGGAGAGGTGGTGGTGGGGGTGTTGGTAGAGGTGGTGGTGGGGGTGGTGGGAGAGGTGGTGGTGGGGGTGGTGGGAGAGGTGGTGGTAGAGGTGGTGGTAGAGGTGATGGTAGAGGTGATGGTAGAGGTGGTGGGAGAGGTGGTGTGAGAGGTGGTGGTAGAGGTGGTGGTAGAGGTGGTGGGTAGAGGTGGTGGGAGAGAGGGGTGGTGGGGGGTGGTGGGAGAGGTGGTGGGAGAGGTTGTGGTGGAGGTGGTGGGGGTGTTGGTGAGGTGGTGTTGTAGAGGTGGTGAGAGAAGTGGTGGTGGGGGTGGTGGGAGAGGTGGTGGTAGAGGTGGTGGTAGAGGTGATGGTAGAGGTGATGGTAGAGGTGGTGGGAGAGGTTGTGGGAGAGGTTGTGGTGGGAGAGATGATGGTGGGGGAGGTGGTAGTACTGGTGGTGGAGGTTGTGGGGAGAGTGGTACCGGTTGTGCTTGGAAGTGGAGGATGTTCAGTAGTTGGACTGTCGGTAGTTGGACTGTCGGTTGTTTGCGTGTCGGTTGTTGGTGTGCCGGTTGTTGGAGTATCGGTAGTTGGAGTGCCGGTAGTTGGAGTGTTGGTAGTTGAAATGTTGGTAGTTGGAAAGTCGGAATTTGGAGTGTCGGTAGTTGGAAAGTCAGTAGTTGGAAATTCGGCAGTTGTAATGTCTGAAGTTGGAAGGTCGGTAGTTGGAAATTCGGCAGTTGTAATGTCGGAAGTTGGAAAGTCGGAAGTTGGAAAGTCGGTAGTTGGAAAGTCAGTAGTTGGACAGTCGGTAGACGGACAGTCGATTGTTGGAAAGTCGGAAGTTGTAATGTCGGAAGTTGGAAAGTCGGAAGTTGGAAAGTCGGTAGTTGGAAAGTCGGTAGTTGGACAGTCGGTAGATGGACAGTCGATTGTTGGAAAGTCGGACGTTGGAAAGTCGGAAGTTGTAATGTCGGAAGTTGGAAATTCGGCAGTTGTAATGTCGGAAGTTGGAAAGTCGGAAGTTGGAAAGTCGGTAGTTGGAAAGTCAGCAGTTGGAAATTCAGCAGTTGGAATGTCGGAAGTTTGAAAGTCAGTAGTTGGAAAGTCGGAAGTTGTAAAGTCGGTCGTTGGAATGTCGGACGTTGGAATGTCGGTAGTTGGAAATTCGGCATTTGTAATGTCGGAAGTTGGAAAGTCGGAAGTTGGAAAGTCGGTAGTTGGAAAGTCGGTAGTTGGAAATTCAGCAGTTGGAATGTCGGAAGTTGGAAAGTCAGTAGTTGGAAAGTCGGTAGTTGCACAGTTGGCAGATGGACAGTCGGCAGATGGACAGTCGGATGTTGGTAAGTCGGACGTTGGAATGTCGTAAGTTGGAAAGTCGGTAGTTTTAAATTTGGTAGTTGGAGAGTTGGTATTTGGAAAGTCAGTAGGAGGAAAGTCGGAAGTTGGAAAGTCGGTAGTTGGAAAGTCTGTAGTTGGAAAGTCGGTAATTGGACAGTCTGTAGTTGGACAGTAGGTAGTTGGAAAGTCAGTTGTTGGAATGTCGGAAGGTGGAAAGTCGGTAGTTGGAGGGTCAGTAGTTGGAGAGTCGGAAGTTGGAAAGTCGGTATTTGGAAAGTCGATAGTTGGAAACTCGGTAGTTGGAATGTCAGAAGTTGGAAATTCGGTAATTGGAAAGTCAGTAGTTTGACAGTCGGTAGTTGGAAAGTCGGCAGTTGGAAAGTCAGTAGTTAGAAATGTGGTTGCTGGAGTTTCTGTTGTTGGAGTGTCTATAGTTGGAGTGTTAGTTGTTGGAGTGTCGGTAGTTGGAAAGTTGGTAGTTGGAAAGTCGGTAGTTGGATAGTCGGTTGCTGGAGTGTCGGTTGCTGGAGTGTCTTTCGTTGGAGTGTCAGTTGTTGGGGTGTCAGTTGTTGCAGTGTCAGTTGTTGGAGTGTCAGTTGTTGGAGTGTCAGTTGTTGGAGTGTCAGTTGTTGGAAAGTCGGTGGTTGGAAAGTCGGTAGTTGTAAAGTTGGTAATTAGAGAGTCGGTAGTTGAAAGTCGGTAGTTGGAATATCGGAAGTTGGAAAGTTGGTAGTTGGAGAGTCGGAAGTTGGAAAGTCGGTAGTTGGAAATTCGCCTGTTGGAATGTCGGAAGTTGGAAATTCGGCAGTTGGAATGTCGGAAGTTGGAAAGTCGGTAGTTGGACAGTCGGTAGTTGGAAAGTCGGTAGTTAGAAATTTGGTTGCTGGAGTTTCTGTAGTTGGAGTGTGTATAGTTGGAGTGTTAGTTCTCTGAGTGTTAGTTGTTGGAGTGTCGGTAATTGGAAAGACGGTAGTTGAATAGTCGGTAGTTGGAAAGTCGGTTGCTGGGGTGTCAGCTGCTGGAGTGTCTTTAGTTGGAGTGTCAGTTGTTGGTGTGTCAGTTGTTGGAGTGTCAGTTGTTGGAGTGTCAGTTGTTGGAGTGTCAGGTGTTGGAGTGTCAGTTGTTGGAGTGTCCGTTGTTGGAGTGTCAGTTGTTGGAAAGTTGGTGGTTGGAAAGTCGGTAGTTGGAAAGTCTGCAGTTGGAACGTTGGTAGTTGGAAGGTTGGTAGCTGGAAAGTCGGTAGTTGGATAGTTGTTTGCTGGAGTGTCGGTTGCTGGAGTGTCTGTAGTTGGAGAGTCAGCTGTTGGAGTGCCAGTTGTTGGAGTGTCAGTTGTTGGAGTGCCAGTTGTTGTAGTGTCAGTTGTTGGAGTATCAGTTGTTGGAAAGCCGGTAGTTGGAAAGTCGGTAGTTGGAAAGTTGGTATTTGTAGTTTCGGTAGCTGGAGTGTCAATAATTGGAGGGTCAGTAGTTGGAGTGTCAGTAGTTGGAGTGTCGGTAGTTGGACTGTCAGTTTGAGTGTCGGTCGTTGGAGTGTAAGGAATTGGGGTTATACGGTCATCAGTAGTTGGGGTAGTTATGTCAATGGTGGTTGGAATGACAGAGGATGTGGTCAGATCCCCCTGTGGCAAAGAGACTTAAAAAAATAAAAAATAACTTTGTAAACCACATAAACAATGGTACATAGTGTCATTTGCTATACGCATAGGAGATGATCCATGTTGTTCCAGTTTCATCAGGTCTTCACCAGTTTTCTACTGTACTTTATGAAAGAAAGAAGTCATTATCACTGCCAATAAATGGTTGACATTTGATAGCAAAGGCTACGCTTTTATAAACTGTATCTGAGACCTGACAGTAGTTATTTCACAGTCTGTAAACAGCTTAACAGTAAATCTAAAAAGTGTTTGGATAAAAATAAAGTCTGAAACAATGTCTTAATTGATGCTATTGTATCCCGTGCGGCAAACAGACAAAACATCAGTCAATCATGACTATAAACCAAACATTAAAATTCATAAACCACACTGTAAAACCATTAGGTCATATATTGGTAATAATCAATTGATAAGTTAAATGCATCATACAGTTGTGGTCAAAACTTTTGAGAATGACACAAGTATTGGTCTCCACAAAGTTTGCTGCCTCAGTGTTGATGATGGCAATTTGCATATACTCCAGAATGTCATGAAGAGTGATCAGATGAATTGCAATTAATTGCAAAGTCCCTCTTTGCCATGAAAATGAACTTAAATCCAAAAAAACATTTCCACTGCATTTCAGCCCTGCCACAAAAGGACCGGCTGCCATCATGTCAGTGATTGTCTCGTTAACACAGGTGAGAGTATTGACGAGGACAAGGCTGGAGATCACTCTGTCATGCTGATTGAGTCAGAATAACAGACTGGATGCTTTAAAAGGAGGGTGGTGCTTGAAATCATTGTTCTTCCTCTGTCAACCATGGTTACCTGCAAGGAAACACGTGCCGTCATCATTGCTTTGCACAAAAAGGGCTTCACAGGCAAGGATATTGCTGCTAGTAAGATTGCACCTAAATCAACCATTTATCGGATCATCAAGAACTTCAAGGAGAGAGGTTCAATTGTTGTGAAGAAGGCGTCAGGGTGCCCAAGAAAGTCCAGCAAGCGCCAGGACCGTCTCCTAAAGTTGATTCAGCTGCGGGATCGGGGCACCACCAGTGCAGAGCTTGCTCAGGAATGGCAGCAGGCAGGTGTGAGTGCATCTGCACGCACAGTGAGGCAAAGACTTTTGGAGGATGGCCTGGTGTCAAGAAGGGCAGCAAAGATGCCACTTCTCTCCAGGAAAAACATCAGGGACAGACTGATTGATTTTCTGCAAAAGGTACAGGGATTGGACTGCTGAGGAATGGGGTAGTCATTTTCTCTGATGACAAGGTGAGCGCTACCATCAGTCCTGTGTCATGCCAACAGTAAAGCATCCTGAGACCATTCATGTGTGGGATTGCTTCTCAGCCAAGGGAGTGGGCTCACTCACAATATTGCCTAAGAACACAGCCATGAATAAAGAATGGTAACTCCCCAGACCTTAATCCCATTGAGAACTTGTGGTTGATCCTCAAGAGGCGGGTGGACAAACAAAAATCCACAACTTCTGACAAACTCCAAGCATTGATTATGCAAGAATGGGCTGCCATCAGTCAGGATGTGGCCCAGAAGTTAATTGACAGCATGCCAGGGCGGATTGCAGAGGTCTTGAAAAAGAAGGGTCAACACTGCAAATATTGACTCTTTGCATAAACTGAATGTCATTGTCAATTAAAGCCTTTGACACTTATGGAATAATTGTAATTATACTTCAGTGTACCATAGTAACTACTGACATAAAGATCTAAGAACACTGAAGCAGCAAACTTTGTGGAGACCAATACTCAAAACATTTTTGACCACGAATGTATATTTTTGAACATCTGGAGAGTGACGGCAATCTTCTTATGCAATTCTCAATCATAGAAGAAACTCCACAGCATCATACACTGTGCCTGTGCGTTTTTGCTGCCAA